TAACCCAATTTGCCTTGTGTAGTAGCATGGAGTTCGATCATCGAAGCCCATATCTCATAGTTGGATCCATTCAATTTGAATCCTATAGGTAGGTTGGTGGACGATTCGGTATGAACCGTCACAATAGGAGTAGAAGAAGAAGAGTCAGTGACATCTGACATGGTGATAGATAGCGGCAGCAGTGAAAGATTAGGTGACGATCGACGACGACAGTAAGAGATATAAGACAGCACATGCTTAGGTGTATAGGATAGGTGCATCGGAAATAGGTATTTTTAGGATTAGGGTTTTGATGTTGTAGAGACGGATCGGAACCTACTCTGATACCAACTCAAAATAACTAGGGTTTAAAACTGATATATTTAGTCTTCTCTTAATGAGGAATATATATACTACATATAGAGTGGTTACAAATAGGAAATATGTACAAAATCTCATAATTCTACTCAAATTAGATAATTACAATAAAATATAAATTCTATTTCTAATAGGAACAAATTCTATTTCTAATAGGAATGTTGACTCACGCCAACAATTGAGAGCCCAAAAACCTTACTCATGACGGAATAGTAAAATAATATTATTTCCAAGAGTTTCTCCTCGTTAAAGAGGGATGGAGAGCATAGAGGTTGGTGGGTTGTTGTGCAGTTGGTTGTAAATCCCAAACACAAAAAATTAAATAAAAAATATCAGACTTTGTGGGCCATATTGCCTTAGCAATTGGCCTACTTAAGCCACCTCAACAGAGATGAAACTACGACCATATTTTGTAACTTAATCTGAAAGATCAACACTTTATCAAGTTTTCTTGTATTGAGCAGATCATGGATACCTTAGTTCATGGCCACAGAACATCATCACATGATGAAAACCAGTCTAAATACGACCGAGCCAAAGAGCTAAAAGCTTTTGATGACACAAAGGCTGGTGTAAAAGGCCTAGTTGATGCCGGCACACTTCATGTACCCAAGATATTCATAGGGCCACCCAATGAGCTCACTCACTTCCCCACATGTCACCAACCCAACCTGCAAGTTCCTGTCATTGATCTCCAAGGCATCAACGGTGATCTCCACAAGCAGATTGTAGATGAAGTTAGGGCCGCGTCCAAAACATGGGGCTTTTTCCAAGTGGTCAACCATGAAGTCCCATTGACTGTGTTGGAAAATATGATCCAAGGAGTGCGCAAGTTTCATGAGCAAGATATTGATGTGAAGAAAGAATTCTATTCCCGTGATCGAGAAACAACTGTCAGATTCAATACCAATTTTGATCTGTACCAATCAAGAGCAGCTAATTGGAGGGACACTCTGGCTTTTCCAAAGGCTGTTGTTGATCAGGATCCCAAACAACTCCCTTCAGTTTGTAGGTATTTGCTCCGAAACCCATTCAATTTCATTACTTGTGTTCTTGATTTTGTTGTATTATTTTTTAAGTTATTGGTGGTCTAATTTAGACTGATTAACTTGGTGATTTTTACCGATTGGCTTGTCCCCTAATAATTAAAAATTGCTCGTTCTGGGAACTGTGTTCATATGTGTTCTCACATCACAAATGTATTCTACCAATTCAACTGTAATGTTTCTTTGGAGCCAATGGGTCTAGCCCATTAGAGACCCATTGGAAATGAAAGGATCTTGGCTTGCAGACGAGTGGCCTCATGTTCAAACCCATACGGCACCTTAGTATTCAAAAAAGAAACCCCAACTTTTCAGATACTTTTTACACATTTGTTCACTCCAAAATGCAGAGATGCAGTAATTGAATACACAAAGCATGTCAAAAGTTTGGGAGACCAACTCTTTGGATTGTTATCAGAAGCTCTTGGTCTCAAGCCTGACCACCTAAGGGAATTAGAATGTTCTAAAGATTATTTCTTTTCGTGCCACTACTATCCAGCATGCCCAGAACCAGAACTTACACTGGGAAGTAGCAAGCACTCAGATCCTTCTTTCCTCACAATTCTTCTTCAAGACCAAATTGGTGGCCTCCAAGTTCTTCATGACAATCAATGACATGTTCACCCTATTTCAGGTGGCTTAGTAGTAAATATTGCTGACTTTCTTCAGGTTTGTTTACCCAATTCCAAGCACATTTTCATTTGTTCTGCTATTCACCAATTTTTCTAAGGCTTCCTAAATTTGTCCAGGCTATATCTAATGACAAGCTTCAGAGTATTCAACATAGAGTGCTTGCAAACCGGGCCGGTCCAAGAGTTTCTATAGCTTGCTTTTTCACAGGACAGAGAACTGAAGCACTTGCCAAGTCCTATGGTCCAATCAAAGAGCTTATATCAGAACAGAACCCTCCTCTGTATAGACATTTCTTGATAAGTGAATATCATGGCAAGTTCTTTTCTCAGGGGCTTGGTGAGAAGTCTGGTCTTGACCATTTCAGGCTTTGAAGCCAACAATTTCCACTGATGGACACTTTCAAGATGTAATAGTTATGGCTGAATTATGTTGTCTGATTACCACATTGTGAAGTTTCATGTACAACAAACAGTGATTGCTTTGTTAAAATAATTTCTGCCTAACTTCATTTCTTTTCCTTTTGTTAAAGTCTACAGCAGCTACAGATCCTCCTACATTGCAAAAATTAAAGCTGTCACTTTTGTGGATTTTAGTGCTTGGTTTCTTTCTGGTCTTAGGTCTATGACAAATTTATTTTTCAGCTCATTGTAGTGTGGACAAGGAAATAATAATGACAACGTACGGCCTCTAATCTAAATAAGGAAATAATGGCAACTATTTGTTCAATCTCAGTTAATGAAACAAAATAACTGAGAAAATTTGGCTTGCCAAAGCATTTTTATGATTCTGTAGAACTTTTCTCTTTTTTAATGCAAACGATAGTCAAACTACAAAAGGGGGGAAGGGGGGGAGGGGGGGATGTATCGCACGCACTACCAAAGTGTTATTAGAGTTCGAACATAAGACCACTAATCTACAAGTCAAGGAAATTCCATTTTTCATTGGACTAAACCCATTGACCTTTTAAAAAAAAGTATTGCAACATTGGGGATTTCTTCATGTACTTTGGAATCACTTTCCTCCGAATTATAAGTGTTAAACTAAGAATTCCTCTGGCATGTTTCTTCAATGGATGCCACCATCCAGAGCTCTATATAACGGTCCATTCAAGGAACTGGTATAAATTCAAACTTCATAAAAATAAAAAAAAATTTCCTTTTCACAGTTTGAAAAATGCTACTTTCATTCAACCAATATCAACTATTATTTCACCAAATAATGTTCACTGATTCTTTTATTACCTTTTTTTCTTTCTAATCACGGATAAATATATGTATCCCTATATAATCGAAAACGACTAAAGATACATATTTTAAGGTCCAATGGAACTCCAAAAAGTCACGCCCGACGTTAGCCGAAGCCAAATCGAGTCGACCCATGTTACTAGAGGATCAGTATTGGGCCTAATTCTTGTGATCAGGTCTCATCGCGACCTTATCCATCATTTCTGATTTTAAAATTTGTCTTTTTAACTTTTGTAATCAGTGTTTTTTTTACACAAACAATATTAGGGGAAGGGGATTCGAATATAAGACCTCTAACTCATGAGTAATTACTCTTAAGTACTTGAACTACAAATCCCTTAGAGTACTTCCAGCGATAAGGGTTGCTCAGGCAAAAGCCCCCCAGCTTCCCAAAACCCATCCCAGGGGTGCAAACCTGCCCAGGAAAATGTGGGCCGTACCCAAGTCTAGACAAGCTAATCTCATGTTGATGTCACAATGACGTCAGCAACCAATTTAAATAAGAAAAAAAAACAAAAAATTTCATTTTTTTTTCTATAAATACCTAGTCATATTCTTCACTTCTCATGCCAAAACTCAATACAAATTCCCCTTCTCATATCTCATGTTAATAGTGGTTGCCCTTGAGTTGCTATGGCAATGGGTGGGAATGCATCAAAAAAATTGCTATGACAGTCACTATTTATGTGAATAGTAACTGTCATTGCCTTCCCTTATCTTTTTCCATGATAAATGGGTGAAAGTGCTTTTTGTTGTAAATGCATGAGTTGGTGGATGACCACCATACCTCTTAGCATTCATCCTTTCTAATTCTATGTAACCTATGCACTAAATATCATAGTTATGGGCTTGTAACTTATGAGTTGTTAATGTTTTCTTATTATTGTAAGCCTATAAATAAGAGGTCTTATCAAGATGAGATAAACAAGTTGATTGAACAATTTCTATTGTCTTTCTCTACTTTCCAATTCTCCACCATTTTCCCCTTAGTTATATAACACTTTTACAATTTTTGCAATCTATTGACGTAAATAAATTTCTTGAGAGAAAAAAAAATTATAATATCCAAATAGGCCGGAACGCGAAGGATGCTAATAATAGGCAGGTCCAATTGCTCTCCAGGTCCATTAGGTGGGTCTGAACTCTGAACAGGGTCATACTCATTTTATTTGCTCTGCTGATCCGTTGACTGCTTTGAGATTCCACGGGTTGGGTCGAATGGTCCGACGGCATCATGCGGGTATTAAATATACGCGCCTAGTGGTGCGTAGGGAGGAAGAAAACAGTTCGATTATTCATTTCATGTTATGGGTGAAGCATGCCAGATTTGCCCACGCTATTTGACTGCAGGCATGTTGGTTGAGAGAGAGAGAGCTTTAGAATCCCAGTTTTGGTTTGGCTGATATTATCTTGATTAATTAAGCTTAGCAACTCTCTCTCTCTCTCTCTCTCTCTCTCTCTCTCTCTCTCTTGCAAATTGCGGTCCAAGTTCTCTTCTTTTCACAATAATCAAACTTCCCAGTTGTATACCAAGTCTTTCCTGGGTTAACTGATTTTTGGGTCCTCTGTGTACTTTTATTCTGAAAGCAATAGTGGGTTGTTGAGGTTTGTGATTTTTAGTTTGTGGGTGATGTGGTTTGCCTTTCAATGTTAAGGAAAGATGGGTGCTTTCTCTGACCCATTAAGAATCTGATACTTTTTTGGGTTTTGAGAGAACAAGGAAATGAAGGATTTTCCTGGGACGCCTGGGACTTTGACAGGGCTTCTTCTCAGGATTTCCCAATGCGTCTTTGCTGCTGGGTCTATTGCTTCCATGGCTACCACTGCCAGCTTCTTCAATTTCACAGCTTTCTGGTATTGCTTTCCTTTCCCAACTCACTGATTTATTTCCAATATTTTGATTACAGAAGGAAGAATAGATGGGATTGAGACACTCTTGATTCTTGAAATTTTCCTAAATAAAATGTAAGCAGAAGGAATTTAGAAGTTCCTCTGCATCACTAGAGAACCAAAACTTGAATACAAATTAGAATTAGATGTACCAAATGTTCTGGGCAGTGTTCTTCTTTGGCCTTGTTTTGTTAGTTATTATCAGCTCAGTTTTGTGTAACCGGATTCTGTAGGCTTATGGGGCAGATTTCAGCATCTCTTGATGCATCACATGTCATTTCTTGTCCTGGAAAAAAATTGTAATATTTGTTTTTAAGGCAATGCTCATTTTGCAGCTACCTGATTGCTTCAATGGGTCTGCAAGTCATCTGGAGTTTAGTGCTGGCATTGCTAGATGCATATTCCTTAGTGAAAAAGAAGGTCCTCCACAACCCTGTATTGCTTAGCCTCTTTGTAGTTGGAGACTGGGTCAGACACTACAAATCCTTGACTTCCTTACATGAAAATCTTGTGTGTCCATATAGTGCTTGTCATTTAACAGCTTACTCTTTTCCTTTTCCAACAGGTTACAGCAACACTGTCTCTTGCAGCGGCTTCTGCCTCAGCTGGCATAACTGTGTTGTACTTCAGTGACTTGAGCCACTGCAATTTTGGAGAGGAATGTCAAAAATACCAGATGGCAGTTGCATTGGCGTACCTGAGCTGGGTAACAATTGCAATTTCTTCTCTAATTATGCTCTGGCTATTGGCAGCATGTTAGACCACTTGTTTGTATAGGCCATAGGATTTGTTTCATCTCATTGTAGCCCTTCTTTGTCATATATATTTCTTCTTCTTTTTCTTTAGAACAGAAACAAGAAATTGCAGCGTCAATAGAAAAGGAAACAAACTGGATAGAACATAGCAGTACAATATTAAAAACTTACTCTCATTATGTTGCCTTTCCACTGGAAGAAGTGGGATTAGAGTTGGGAAACAGTTGTATCAAACTGGAATTATAAAATGGATATACATTTACTTGTAAAGTTGAAGGATTAGCAGAAGGAATTACTACTTTTTCTGTCGAATTTGTTCAAATTGATGTCCAAATTGATGATGATGTGAATTGGTTAGTGGCAGAAAGATCCTCATGAGTTTGTAATATTATTGAGGAGAAAGGCAGAGAGTGTATGCTTTCTTCCTTCCAGTTTTCCACTATGAGTTAGCTAACAATGATTTTGCATACAATAACTTAAACTATATCTGTATTGTTGGTGTGGCATCTTGCCACTACATCTTCATTTTCTTTTCTAATACAAAAACAATAGCATGCTTGCTTCCAGTGAACATTATTCTAAATCAGAGGGATGGAGTTCTTTTTCTTTCAAAATAACAACTTGCAACAGTGAGCAAATTGCCATCTAAGTTTAGTGGTCCTCACTCCTCATGTGTCTACTTGATGCATTTTGTTCGAATCCCACTGGAAGTTCGCTATTTTATACAAAAAGCTACAGGAACCCATGGCTTGCTGGAAAGTGTCCTTTTATTGTATCAGTTTTATTAAAGCAGTGTGCTTTAATCTTGCTTATGTTTAAGCAAGACGCTTTGTGTCATTGGTATTTGTAATATTTTGGTAGGTATGTGTATTTATGGAATGTGGTGTTGGCATAGGTCTGCAACAAATTAAACCTTGTGTCTTTCAAAGCAGTCTTCTCTGAAATTGATGGACCATCATATTGTGGGATAGGTGGCAGCAAGCAAGGCTGCAAGAGAAGTGTCTGTCTACCAACAAAAGTAAGTGGAAGCAGACAATGTTGGGTTAGTGGTTAGTGAGGGCCCAATGGCAGGTGAAAGTCAGAGAATCCCAATAACCTATCAGGCACTACTTTAGACACATCGTCATCACTTATCATAACCCATTTGTCTCTCTAAAACTAAATTTAGAAGAAAAACACTCGAGTGCAACTTAAAAAACTTATGTGAAATAGCGATACAATTAAAGACTGTCACGTTGGAAAGTTATCAGGGTGGTATGTTGCGATTGGTTGGGAATGGTAAAATAGTATTATTCTCGTTTCACACAAGTATTTCTCATGTGTAACGGAAATAGCACTGTTTTACTATTCTTGATCGATCAGAGTATGTCACACGTGATAATTTTTCCGCTTGTCATACCATGATTGGTTGAAAATAGCCCCGTTTTCACACAAGTTTTTCTGAATTTAGAGAGGCTCTAATAATCAGGACCTGTACAACTCCTTAACAAATGATTCCCACATGGGAAAGTATTTTGAAAATCTGAAAGATGAATATATGAAATGTTGTCTCTTTCCAGTGTGGTCCTGGAAAATAGTGAGTAGGAAGTTGTGTCTTTGATACCAGATCCAGATATTGAGGGTTGGGTTGAGCTCAGCAGAAGCTAATTCTTTCAAGGTGTGGTGGTGGGAGTTTGCTTTATGAAAAGCCTTCCTTACACACCTGATTTTTCTGATTGCAGTTTTATAAGTATAGCATACGATGTTTTTTTGTTCTGATTTTTCTGATTTTTTGGAATGGTTCCCTAATAATATCAATGATGCAAAAGTCATATTCCAAATGGATGTAATGACACAAACGATTCTTATCTTGAGTAAGTAGAACAAACTCGCAGACAATTTACCTCCTTTCATGACAATGGACCAGCACATAATAACTTCTTAAAAAATCCATGAAAGTATGTTCTAATTAGAATTCCCATATAATATTCAATCAGGGTACGAGAATATTGGATTAATTGATCAGGGCCATGCATGGTATCTTCTACTATTCCCCTATCTTTTCTATAAAATGAAGTCGGGAAATTGTTAGCACATCAGAGGAACTTAATCAAGAACCTGATACTGTCAACATGAAACAAGAACCAAGACTCAAACTATTCCACCATCCTCTATATGAACACATGCATGATGTGCTCCTCCAGCTTTGTCAAGAATTGAAATAGGAGAAGGAAGAAAGGGGACCAACCAGAGGAGGTTATGGCACAGGAGGCATGTAATGATCTTGGGGGAATTTACAAGAAGTTCAAGCCACACCTCCTCATGCTTTTAACTCAGATGGGCTATACATTTCTGTATTTTATCACAGAAGCTTCCTTCAATCATGGGATGAACCCTCATGTCTACATAACTTATCGACATATTGTGGCCGGTGTAGTGATGTTCCCTTTTGCCTATGTTCTTGAAAGGTATAATAGGGCAACATTCTTTTGTCAAATATCTGGCATGTTATGTTATATTAAATCTACCACCATGCATTAAACTGTTTGTCCATTCAATCAATTATCTAGCAAGATCAACAGTTTAGAAACATAACATGTCAGACAGTCTTAGAGTATTTTTCTATGCTTCTATGCATAACTTTTAACATTTCTACATGCATATTGTCATTTAAGTTATGCGTTTAACTATTAATCTTTGATTCTCCTCCTGCAGAAAAGACAGACCAAAGCTCACATTAGCTCTTTTCTTGGAACTTTTTGTTCTTTCGCTTCTGGGGTAAGGACATGCAGAACCCATATATGTTTCTGGATAAAGGCAAAAATAAAGAGCTAGCTAATTAAGCCTCTTTTTCAATGGTTGCAGGGTGGGTTTGACTTTAAACATGTACTTTGCAAGCTTAAGATATACCTCTCCTACCTTCCTTGCATCAATGGTCAACACCATAGCTTCCGTAACTTTTGTAATTGCGATTGTACTCAGGTTAGTGAACCTCTTAATTAATCCAGAAATCCGAAGCATCAAGTCATGTTTTACCCTTGATAAATTACCTTTGAATTCAGGTTGGAGGTTCTTAATCTTCGAAATCCTCGTGGGTTAGCGAAAGTTTTGGGAACCCTCATCTCCTTAGCTGGTGTAATGACCATGACATTGTACAAGGGGCCTATTGTGAGAAATTTATGGCATCCATTAATCCATGTTGAAGGAAAATCCTCCATCCATGAGAACTGGTTGAAGGGTTCAATTCTTACTGTTGCAAGCTGCATAACATGGTCTATCTGGTACATTATGCAGGTTTTAGCCCTTACTCAAACCTATATTGTACATTGTGAAACATACACAACTATTACATATATGTGACACTAAAGATGGAATGTCTGATAATTCATAAGGTGATCTTGAAATAATTTTCCGATTAAAAAAAAAATGTAGGCAATCACATTGAAAAGATATCCTGCACAACTGTCACTGACTACATGGATGAGCTTTATAGGGGCAGCACAATCAGCTGTCTTCACAGTGTGTATAGAACATAGACAAGCTGCTTGGACAATTGGATTCAACATCGACCTCTGGTCCATATTATATGCTGTAAGTCTAATAAGAAAGTATGAAATGTTGCTTTACAGTAAGATTGATTGTTCTAATGTGGGTGGTGTATGGCAGGGAGTAGTGTGCTCTGGTCTTATAATCTTCATTCAACTATGGTGCACAGAAGAGAAGGGGCCAGTTTTCGTGACCATGTTTAATCCCGTTTCAACAATATTGGTGGCTGTTCTAGCATACTTCGTCCTTGGTGAAAGACTTTATACCGGCAGGTAACGTTTTGCATTATTCATCCTAATGCGAATTTACGGGCAGTTTCATGTATCTAGAGTTTAACTAAGGCATTGCAGGTATGCAGGGTTTCCTCATTGTCCAAAATGAAAACTTTGTATAATGCATCAATAAAAGCAGTTTCCAGTTACTACTTTTCATGCCACATAAGTGAATCGCATTATGTGACAAGTGGGATCCATTTGTTATACTTTAATTATTATTACCAATTAGTAATTGAAACTTAACGTATCACATAATTTGATTCACTAATGTAGTCTAAAAATATGATTATTCGCTAATGCGTCCAAATGTATGATTGTTTTAGCATTAATATATCCAATTTTAACTGCGAGAGTGGGTTAAAAGTAGAGGGAGGTAGTGGCTTGGATGTTCTAACAGTTCATATGTGGTTTGTTGATCAGCATACTAGGGGCATTTATTGTCATCCTTGGCCTGTACTTGCTGTTGTGGGGAAAAGAAGGAGATGAAGTATATATCAAGTCAGAAGAGTCCTCTTATCAGACAACATATGAAGAGCACAAGGATAATAACATACAGAAAATCACTTCAGCCAAGAAGGATGTGCTACATGGTGAACCCTAAAGGTTAGATTGGATCATTCCCTAGAATCCATTGAGAGAGGGAATCGAAAACCAATAAAACTGTGATCAAGAAAAAGATGATGAAAGTAACAAGAAAAGTTGCGCGAGCAAACATGGGAGGAAGAGAAAGGAAGTCCGCTTTAAACTTGCTCATACAAAAGCTGCAGGAACCCGTTGCTCGCTCAAAAAAGTGTCCATTGATTAATGCATCATTTTTCCTATAGAAGTCTACTTTAAACTTCCTTATGTTTGAGCAGGACACTTTCTGGGTCATTTGTAATATTTTGTTAGCTCTTTTATTTATGGAATGCGATCTTGGCATAGGGTCTGCAGCAGCAAGAGGAGTGTTATTTACAATTGTGTCAACAACAAATGGTTACCAAAATAAGTCAGTGGAAGCAGAGGGATGTTGGCTTAGTGTTTGGTTACTGGCAGGTGAAAGTTAGAGAACCCCAATATGCCTTCTTTAAACACATTGTCATCACTTATTATTAACCCATTAATTTTTCTCCTTAACTAAATTTAGAGGCTATTAATCATGACCTGCAGAAACTCCTCAACCAAAATGATTCCCACTTGGGAAAGTATGTATTTTCTTAATCTGAAAGATGCATGTTTGAGTTGTCTGTTTCCAGTGTGGTCCTGGAAATAGTGAGTGGGAAATTGTGTGCTCAGCAAAAGCTTATCTTTCAAAGTGTGGTGTGGTGGGCGTTATTGCTTTCTTAAAACTAAAAGGCTTCTTCAGACTTCTTCATCTGATTTTTTTTCCCTCTTTTTTTTTTTTTTTTTTTTTTTTTTTTTTTTTTTTTGGTATAGGCATCTGATTTTTCAGATCGCAGTGTGTTAAGTACTGCACACAATGTGACCCTATGCTGTATTTAAGGTGTTATCCGCACTCTCGCAATGTATTTAAGAAACCGTTATTCGTACTTCTGTAGTATTCTATAATCACTCATGTACAAGGATGTTTTAGTGCATAAACCATATCTATGGATGCATGATTTTCACTCACATCAATAATAAAGTCTTCAGTTGTAATAAGATTCTCGAATAATTCCCCGAAATCTATGGTGCAAAAATCATATTCCAAATTACATACCCAATATTATTATATTGAGCAATTTAATCAAGAACCTGATACTGTCAACATGAAACAAGAATCAAGACTCAACTATTCTATTACCCTCTATATGAAGAAAACATGCATGATATGCTCCTCCATCTTGTCAAGAATTGAAACTTGAGAAGGACGAAAGGGACCAACCAGTGGAGGTTATGGCACAGGAGGCATGTAGTAACCTTGAGGGAGTTTACAGGAAGTTCAAGCCACACCTCCTCATGGTTTTAGCTCAGGTGGCCTTTACATTTCTATATTTTCTCACGGAAGCTTCTTTCAATCATGGGATGAACCCTCATGTCTACATAACTTATCGACATATTGTGTCCGGCCTAGTGATGTTCCCTTTTGCCTATGTTCTTGAAAGGTAAATATATGCATAAAGTTGCCTTTGTACTTATAGGGTAACATTCTTTTGCAAGATATTTGGTGTCATCAATTTAGCACTGAATGTTAAACTAAGAGTCTATCCAATCAACATTGATCTAGTTAGATTTACTGTCTAGCAACATAACATGACAAACTGTTTGATAAGAGAACATTTTTCTACGTCAATCATGATAACTCCAACAATTCTACCTATTTGTCATAGGTTTAATTATTGATCTTTAATTCTCCTCCTGCAGAAAACAGAGACCAAAGCTCACAATTGCTCTTTTCTTGGAACTTTTTGTTCTTTCTCTTCTTGGGTAAGCACATGTAGAAACCCTATATGCTTCTGATAGAGGAACCAAATAAATGGCCAATTAAGTGTCTTTTCCAATGGTTGCAGGGTGGGTTTGACTTTAAACATGTACTTTGCAAGCTTAAGATACACCTCTCCGACCTTCATTGCATCAATGGTGAACACCATAGCTTCCCTGACCTTTGTCATTGCAGTTGTACTCAGGTTAGTATACCTTTTCATCCATAAATCCAAAGAATTAATTCGCACATTTTATCCTTAATAAATTACTTATTAACTCAGGTTGTAGGTTCTTGATCTTCGAAGTCCTCGAGGGTTAGCGAAAGTTTTGGGACGCTCGTCTCCTTAGCCGTTGTAATGACCATGACGTTGTACAAGGGGCCTATGGTGAGAAATTTATGGCGTCCATTGATCCATATTCAAGGGAAATCCTCCATCCATGAGAACTGGTTCAAGGGTTCAATTCTAACTGTTGCAAGCTGCATAACATGGTCTATATGGTACATTATGCAGGTTTTAGCCCTCACTCAACTAAATTGCACCTACTGAGGTGTACACAAACTATTACAAATGTGTATGCATATAGCAAGATCTCATATTCACCGATTAACTGCAAATTAGAAAAAGCTCAAATAACTGTTGATTAAGAGGTCGAGCACGATTATTTTGACTTGGTGGGCTTCCTCTAAGTTGTTCAGTTCCGTTTTATTTTGACTTGGTGGGGCCTGCGTGTCCACGTGGTTCCGGTTGTATTTTTATTTCATTTAAAAAAAAAAAAAAAAAAAAAAAAAAAAAAAAAAGAAAGTCGAGCACATAATCGACCACCATCTTCACCTAGGCATTGACCATCTCGACACATCGACCATTTCGACCACATATTATTCACCATATTAAAGACACTTTTTTTTCTGATTTGCAGTTAACTATGTGAGATTGTAGATAGAATTTCTGATAATTGTTATGGGTGATGCTGGTATATGATGCATGTGAATATTTTCTACAAAATAAAATAAAACAATGCAGGCAATCACATTGAAAAGATATCCTGCTCAACTGTCACTGACAACATGGATGGGCTTCACAATCAGCTGTCTTCACAGTGTGCATAGAACATAGACGGGCAGCTTGGGCAATTGGATTCAACATTGACCTCTCTGGTCCATGTTATATTCTGTGTGAGTATAATAAGTGGTGAATATGAAATGTTGCATTAAAAAAGGGAATCATAAGATTCTTCTAATGCGGGGGCCTATATGGCAGGGAGCTGTGTGCTCCGGTCTAAAAATCTTCGTTCGACTATGGTGCACAGAAAAGAAAGGACCAATTTTTTTGGCCATGTTTGATCCCGTTTCAACGGTATTTGTGGCTCTTCTAGCTTACTTTCTCCTCGGTGAAGACTTTATACAGGCAGGTAATTTTTCGCATTATAATGCATTTAAAAGTAATTGCACGTATCTAGAGTTTAACTAATGCATTTACGAGTAACTGCACATATCTCGAGTTTAACTGAGACATCATACTCAATAAAGACTCTGTATGCAAAACAAAAACTTTGTAAAATGCATCCAATTGGGTTAAGAGATTACATTTTCAATCCATGTTGTGTGACAAGTAGGATCCATATGTTACATTAATTTTCCTTGCCAATTAGTCACATAATTTGGTGTGGAAGGAGGTAATTCTAAAACTTCATGTGTGGTTTGTTCAGCATAGTAGGGGTATTTAGTGTCATCCTTGGCCTATACTTGCTATTGTGGGGTAAAGAAGGTGATGAAGTTTACATCAAGTCAGAAGAGCACTAGGATAAAAACATATAGAAAATCACTTCAGCTAAGACCGATGTGCTACATGAACCATAAAGATTAGATTGGATCCTTCCCTGGAATCCATTGAGAGGGAATTCACAAATCGAAATTCAGAAGCAATTAAACCTAAAAGAAGAAGATGAAGGCAGCAAGAAAAGTTGAGTGAGCAAATATGGGAGCAAGAGAAAGAGACTGTACACTATTAATTTCTGCTACAAATTCCAAATTGATTAAAGATACCAAATTCACCTTTCCACAAAATTCCATCTATTGTTTTGCTTGTTATATTTATTTGTTTGGATCTTATTTATTCAAGAAATCCTCAAATTTCATCAACTTCAATATATGCACAATGCAGTTAAGAAACATCAGAAAGTTAAAAACCAGCACTGGATCATCTTACAGAAAAATATGGTGAACACTGGACATTACTAATTGTTTTAATCCCAAAATGCCTTCTAGCTACATTTAACAATTCTGACACAGACTTGCCACCAGCCAAATTAAATCAGACAATTGAAACAGTGCTGACAAATAGATTGCCAACAAGCAATAAGATTGTCAGTAAATGTAAATGAAGGCATCTAAATTATCCAAATACTTGATGAAATATCTAAGCAGCAGGGGGCCGAAGTTCATGGTCACGAGATGTATCACGGACCGATGGAGGTAAATAATGCCACATTGGAACCAGACTATAGCTAGGATACATTGACATCTTGCTTGCCCCAGGATGATATGCAGCTGGGACTGCTGGGTGGGTTGGAACAAACCCAGAAGGTGAAATTGCCATACCTTTCAACTGCTTCTCCAACCTTTCTTTATCTGCTTTCAGTACAAGTTTCTCTTCACGGAGTTCATTCTTCTCCGCCTGTCATAGGCAAGAACAGTCAACAAAGTGAGTACTCAAAACTTCTCAAGTAGTAAAACTGAAATATGGGGAGAGTTTGAACCGTCTAACAACCACCCTGATTCTAAATTCCAAATTGTACCTCAAGAGTTCAAAATAACCTTATGTTTCATTTGAAATTGAGGAATTTTAGTCTAAATTGATCAAACCCTACTAATACATAAATATTTGAATCTGTAGGGGAAGAAAGCAACAAAAGTTTCTCTTTCTCTAAAACGTATTTTGTACACGGATTTTAAATGATGCATTGTACCTAGTTATTTCAAATTCAAAATATTGCATTAGTCATTTTGAACATGTTGTACTTTTTTTTTTTAATGAATACTCCAACAAATGTAGACTTAATCTTGAAATTTCAATCTTGTGTCTTAATTTATATCTAGTCATTTTGAACATGTTGTAATTTCTTTTTATGAATACTCCAACAAATGTAGACTTAATCTTGAAATTTCAATCTTGTGTCTTAATCCGTGCATCCGAATGCACCTTTAAGTAATTCATGCCTCTGATTAAAAACAAAAGATTGAAAACCAGTCCATCATCGCAATGCAATGGGAGAGAAGTCAAGGTCAAAGAAAGAAGCTGACCTAATGTTATGATGGATGAATGAAAGCTTACAAGAAAGTTATAAGGGATTCTACACACTTGAAAGGGGTATCTTGAATAGTTACAACTGTAAATTATGATAATAAAGGATAAGTTTTTGGTGGAATGAATCTTTTATAGAATCAACTTATACATGGTACAAATCAAGTCATTGTTGAAATGATTTATTGTATAATCTCCAGCCGAGAGGAGCTTGTACAAACCACATGGAAACAAATAATACTTTAAAATCAATCATAAAAGCCTATCATAACTTTAAGATCATCTGAAGCAATTTTCTGTTCATTTTCAATCAACTAAAGCTAAGGTCAAATAAGTTTGAAACACTAGATTGCAGAGATGGCTCGAAAGGATTAGCTGAAATGAAAAGAATATTGCTTTCAAACTCAGTGTTATTTGTCTTCTCCAACACTATAATTGAATGAATGAAGATGATCTAAAGCCTATGATGGCTACTTTCATTCTGGAGGTTCATACCTTCATCGAAAATCTATATATGAACATGATCATAACTTTTATTAACATGTTCTCAACCCAGCCAGGGAGGCAAAGATTAAAAATACCAAGATATGTTTTTGAAAAACTCTGTGCCAGCTACCAAATGGTCCAAATCTCATAATATAACTTTCATTCAAAAGAAAACAAAAATACTTTAAGTAAATGAGCTAGGAAATGATGACCTTTAAACTTTTTACTTCTTCAAGTAACTTTTCATTTGTTTCTTTGAGCTCCTGAGCTTCAGCTCTCAGCTGGGTCAAAACCCTTATGGCATCATCAAGGATAGCAGGCTTGTCAGATTTGGGCGGTCTCCCAGGTTCTAAAACAGCGCTCAACTCCACAAACCTGCAAGAAGAATCAAAACCAACATGTTTCCAATCAAAAATAAATAAATAAAAATAATAAAATCTACTCATCTGATCAATACAAATTAACCCAATTCAACAAAAAACAAAAAACAAAAGACAAAAAGAAAAGACAGAAAAATGAGATTGGATGCATGCCTGTCATTCAATCTCTCCCTCCTCAACTTCTCACGGCAGGCTTTCGCTCCAGACCCAGAGCAAGAAGAATCGGTTCGTCCCCTGTTTCATGATCAAACCCAACAACCAAAACACCATTAAAATGACAAAAAGCTTGGCACTTTCAGAACACAGAAAGCAATTACATTACTGCAGATTCACGGGAAAATGAAAAAAACAAGAAAGTACCTTTTGCGAGGGCACTCTTTTTCCGGTGAGAAAGCAGCAGGAACATCAACAGCAGAGAATTCGAATTCCCTAAATGAAGGAGTGTCATTAGGCCAAAGGAAATCGCTGGGCTGGGTCGTCTCGTCGATGTAATCAAGATACTCTATCCATTCCTCCATCAGAGAATACATGAGAGACTGAGTCATATTCTATTAATATGATTCCAAAGACTTTTGATGCACAATTTAATTAATTAATTTTTTTTAATATAAAATAAGCGCGCACAAAACAAATTGAGTTATGTTTATTTTAGTTTTTTTTTTTTTTTTTTTTTTTTTTTTTTTTTTTTATTATAAAACCCGAATTTGGAAAAAAAATTAGTGTATGTGACGGAGAGATTAGGTGGCCTGCTCACTGGTGTTATCAATACACATACATTTTAACGACCTAGAATTTTACTATTTAAGATTTAAAATTTGGATAATAGGACCATATGCATGTAATTTATATGGATAAATTGGTATATTTGGTGATGTTTCCTTAGCACCGAAAATTTGGCATGGGTTTCCTAATCCTTTCCAACTACTTGTATTTTGCATCAATAAAACTTTTGTTAATTATATACACTGCAACAAATATTCTTTTTGTTTTCACGAGAGGTTATTGAGGTAGGATCACAAGAGGTGACTAATGGAAGTGCTAGTAATCGGATGGACTCAGCCTAATTTTATTCGAATGAGGTCTCAGAATGCCTAATTTTGTTCGATTTAGGTCTCAACCTGCTCAATTTTATTCCATTTAAGTCTCAAACTACAACCAAATCAGATAACAGCAAGATTCAGTTTAATTCGGTGAGGTTTATATAGTGTGGTCATACAACAACCCTACATGAATGATGAATATGTTAACCTTCCTAAATAATTATACGTGTATCAAGACTTGAAACAATGCATGTTTAATTCCAATGCAATGAATAATTAAGATGAATCTAATAAGAACTTTGAATAAGGCTGCTATTAATGAAGATGAATGAACCAAGTGATAAATGATCTATGAACTCTCTTAATTTTTGGACCAAAATCCCGCCTCAACTCCTTTCACATATAATTAACTAAATACCTTATGTTCTCTTATATAATATCAAACTTCATACTATAAATTGAACAAAGACTTTTAGCATGAGAGAAGTTTTGAGAGAGAGAGAGAGAGAGAGAGAGAGAGGAATGTATAAGATGTGTTACAACAGTAAACGAAGATGATAACAGATAAATATGTGGTTTGATTGGGGTTAGAGAATTTCAAATAAACCAAATTGAACTCAATAAAATTAAGTATTGCTTGTTTCAAATCGGTCCTATAAAGACTGGTTTAGTTTAACTGGTTTCAATGGTTTGGGTGGTGTTTTACTTACCTACCCCTAGACAGAAGAAATCAATCAGGTTTAATAATTGGTCTTTGTGGGCCTCAGAAAAGAAACCATTTTCTAATACATTGTAATATAGTGTGGATACATATGTCACAGTTTTTGATTTAAAGGAAAAAAATCATGTCACAGTCACTCCAAAGTCTAGACCAGCAGATAATAGAAAATAAACCATTTTATTGTCAATGATCAAATGATGATGTGCGCAGCCTTAATAAATCAAAATCATTGCCACCAAGGAAAAGAAGATCATTACCGAGTTCGAAAGACTAACACAAACGAAAAAATAATAGAGAAATACTAGCTACTTTCCCTCTTGCCATGTCTATCATAGAAAAATATTAGCTACCTTCCCTCTTGGCATGGCTATCATGTTTGTCAAGCTATCAATTTAAACTACACACCACCCATGAATCAAACAAGAAGATAAATTATAAGAATGTTAAAAAAGCATAACATGCCAAAAGAGCATTTAAACTTTGTTCTATGTCTCTCCATTCTTCTGTTTTCATGTCATAATGGATCAAGAATAAACATCTCCAAGAATAATTGGTACTGACTCAATTTAGGAGGCATCATATACAACATCAAGTTTTGATTTTGCCAATCAGAGCCTGGGCAGGTATCAGGAGGAGCCACCAAATTTGCATGGATTCATAACTTGTAGACCGCAACACAAGCATCACTACAAATCTTGAATTTCTTTAACACCAAAGAGCATCTGTGCCCTCCTGAACTTCTTATAATTATAAGTCCATAATTAACCACTCATAGAATATGCTCTGCAAAAATGCATAGGTGCTCAAGTACGGTCATTTTCAGTAGGCCATAGAATGATTAAGATCTTACTAAGTTTTGGATTAAATTTAAAAAAAAACACATATTATTAAACTGGAAGATCACTTTCAGAGTTGAAATTTATCTATCTTTGAGCTCCCATACAATGGCAGTTACCATTCCTTAGAAGCAACAGATTGATCAGCACACAGCTTTGAAGCAAAACAGTGAAAGAAAAATTAAATCACACGGGCTTCGTTCTTAAGCTTGTCAATCAACTCATCCACAGAAGAAAGGATGACCCCTGCCTTTCTTTTGGGAGGTTCGGTGACTTGAACTTCCTCTATATCGGATTTGATTTCCACATTCAGATCCTCTGGAGAAAATTTCTTTATGGCCTTTGATTTCGCTTTCATTATGTTGGGGAGAGTTGCATACCTTGGTTGGTTCAGCCTCAAATCAGTGCTGCAAGAGGGCCACGGAAACAAGTATTAATTTAGAATTTTCACCAAAGATCAGGTTTAGACAATATTCTTCCTCCTTCCCTGCATATATGTGTGTATGTGATGATCTTTTGGCTGGTTTTCAGTCGATTACTTTAATTGATATTTCAAATTTTCTAATATAAAATATATAAAGTGGAACCCTTCAAACTGTAGTGACATCACCAAGTAACAAGTTTTCTTAAAATATTATCAAAATTATGTCATTATCACACTTCTTTCACATTTGTCAATTTAAAGATAGGCCATTTTAGACTTTTAGTATCATTTTACGTGGCAACACTGTTTGTCTATATTTTATATTAATAAGTGATTGATCACTTTTTTTCTTTCAAGGAGAGGGGGGTGGTGGGGTGTTTATCTTTCTGAATCAAATTCTTATTTTACGCATGCTGTCCATGTTAAGAAAATAAATTGTTTTTGGAAACTAATTTGATACTGATACACAGACAAAATAGTAAAGAAGTAATAATTATATAAGTTCAGCAATTCTAGGATTACCCTACCTATCTTAATTGAACACTTGGGCTTTATTGTCTCAGCCTTACTTCTTACAGTTCTCGGTTTTTGATGGCCTAGCCTATTGGTTTGAAGATAATCCAAAGTGTAGCAATCCTAGGCAGCTTGGTCTGGCTTGAAATTTAATCTTTACTGTCACTTGTTGGTTTCTGTGGGTGTGTTGTTATGTGTTCGATTCTGATTTTCAAATTCCTAGAGAACCAAGTAATTGTATCCTTTGACTGGCTCAAGGTTAAACAGGTCCTTAGTTGCAGAACTCTTCATGCCCAAGCAATTATTCTTCATCTGATTTTAGGATCTGTCAGCACCACCCATCCTTTCATTGGTCTCACCATTGAGTGCATATGTTTAAGCAGAGGTGGTTTCTACTGCTTAGTGTCCCATGTTCATCGGGAACTCAATTTTGGCAGCCGATAGTTGAATTTCACCAGCAGTGTTGGGAAAGAAATTTTTGCTTAGTGTGGGTTGTTTAGTGTTTTGGGTTTAGGCCCTCCATACAGGAGTAGATATGTTATAACTAAACCAAGTAAATGGGTCAGCTTTTCTATTTCTGAACCATTCATATTTTTCAATTTGATGATATTTCTCCATCCAATTAATCCACTGTGTGTACAAATAAGCATGGTGCAACATTTTTGTCTTTTAAGTGCTTTGAAATTTGGGTGAGGATGGAGATGGAGATAGATGCATCCAAGTGTCCAAAAACGAATACATGAGAAGATCTGATACTTACGTTATCACTGCTGGCAAATCTAGACACAAAGTCTCGAGACCACCATCTACCTCTCTGTCCACTGTCACTACTTGCTTCTCCTTATCCAGCACAACCTACTGGAAATATTTAGTCATATGAAGAAATTCATAAAAAAATTTGTCTGAAAATCAGAATAGAACAAAATGCACTATCAACGCATGTCATTTTCTGTGAAATTCTGCTCAATGTTAACTCGGAGAGACAACTAAAAACATGCAAAGAAGTGACAGTAGAGAAAAACATATTACTTCTACGAATCATCTACATTGCTATATATGTATAGATTTTAAGATGGACATATGTTCTCATGAATACAAAACTGAAAGGACAATGTATTTGTTTCAGCTGAGAGGATAATGTCTTTGTGATGGAGTAAAGAGAAGGCAAATAAGATTCTTTTTTTTAAGAAAATAAATGAAATTTAGGAATAACAGGGATTTCAGGATGAGAAATAGAAGAAGTTTTAGTACAAACAGAACCACATCTCTCCAAATAAACCAGGTACTTCAAATACCAGAGGCCCCTGACCCATTATGTTGTCTGATGTTACAGAATTTAAACAAAGACTGGCCATAAACAAAAGAACTTAAGGTAAGCATATTGACCAAGAGAGCAACTAGATTCTCAGATTGTCAAAACTCAAGATAACTAACATGTGACAAGGTCGGTATATATGCTTCTAAGGCTCTAACTATACTCCCAACCACCTCAATTAATGTTCTTTACACCCTTGTTTCACTTTAGAGCCTTTCATCTGCAATTCTTCCTTGTGGCACGCCTAATTTCAAAATTCACTTTCATCAGTGCAAACAAACTTTTGAAAAGCAGTATCCAATTTTCCACTAGTTAGTGCCTATGCTATAAGGGCCCTCAGAAGCTATAAGGTATCCAGGTCAATAGGGATATCTGAAGAATAGATGTATCTCGAAGGCATAGAGAGAGGAACACCTCCCAAACCTTAACTTCCTGATTTTAATTTCTTCAGAAGTCTCCCTGCTGCAGGAATATTATACTATGGAGTGAAACTACAAAACGGGGTAGTGCTTCTAGCCAGCCAGCTAAGCTTTACATTTATTGACTATAATACCAAAACAAAGTCATTTGTGCCTCCTGGCCAGTACAATTAAAAGGAACGTAAACAAAATCCTTTGCTCAGCCCTTAAAAACAAACGAGAAATTAGAAACTGATAATCAGCAGCATCAACAAATTAATATTAACTACTAAGCTTTGAGGCTAGACGGTTTGAATTCTTAAATTACCGATTAAAAGTCCGAAAAACGACATCTGGATTTCAAACATAGTCTCATATTCGCCTACATTTAAAACTTCAACTTATAATGCATGAACATATTAATGATCATATTCCTCAATTACTTAATGGTGTGAAACAAAATACCACAAGGAAGCAAGCAATGTAAGTATGCAAGTTGTAAGCAGCAATTTCTTCTCTACTTAAATGAATTAGGGCCTTTCTCTTTTTAATGAGTGAACAGAGAAATAAATAACTAACCTTTGAAGCAAAGGTCCCTTGAGGCCAGTTCAGCAGCCCTGCCACCATTTGCCCCGTTTGATTGCAATCATCGTCAATAGCCTACACATTTACTCAATACATGTCTAAAGGATAATACTTTCACTTCTTTAAACCAATACCAACAATGCAAACACACAAAACCCAAATCTTTAAAAGTAAAAGAAAATAGATTTAAGAAAAACCTGCTTGCCAAGAATGAGAAGGCCAGGCTTCTCAACCTCCACGAGAGCTCTCAAAAGCTTAGCAACAGACAAAGGGTACAGAGGACCACCAGTCTCCACATGAATGCCCCTATCAGCTCCCATAGCAAGGCCTGTCCTGAGCGTATCGACGCACTGCTTTAGACCCATGGTGACTGCCACGACCTCCGAGGCCATGCCCGCCTCTTTGATCCGAAGGGCCTCTTCCAAAGCAATCTCGCAGAATGGGTTCATCGACATCTTCACGTTCTGGGTCTCCACGCCGCTCTGTGAAACAAAACGAAATGAAACTGTTCGATTAGAAAGACATGATTTTGAAATGAAATACGAACTGGGTTTGTGTTCGATTGGCCTTGCCTTATCGGATTTGACTCGGATTTTGACGGCGTAGTCGACGACCCGCTTTATCGCCACCATTATCTTCATGGTTTCTTTCTTCTGCTCGGTCTGCTTGCCAAGAATGGTGATTGGAATTGGATAATCCGGTGTGAGAAGAAGAGTGAGGAGAGAGAGTTGGAAACGGCATTGGCATTGCTGAGCTAGCAAGCTACTACTAGTAGATAAAATGGTGCCCGTAACTTTCCTAGTATAATAAGCTCTCATTTTGTATTTTCTTTTGTTTTCTTCTTCACTATTTGAATCCGAAGACAAATGGAAAATCGACACATATTAATTCTATCTTTTGTCAAAAATTCACATGCATTATAACAGCAAACAATCCCAACCAAAAAAAAATAATACAAGAAAATATTTGCCATCATAAATACTACATGCTCAACTAATTAAGTGTAAGGAGGCATGTTCACTGTCATGACCAACTGACCTAACTCACATATGCCCATAAATAATTTTATTAAATTGAACTTGATGGTGTTTATGTGGCGCTCATGTTGCCCTATTTAATAAGGGAAATGCTAACAACCTTCTCTGTAACCTTCTCTTTTGGACTTTCTCACTTTTTTGCTTGATATGTGTCATTCTCTTTACACTTAAAATAATGTCATTAATATATTATACAAACTAACTTTTGCTTTCCAAGTTTACCCTTATTAAATGTATTCAATTTATCCAAAAAAATTTCAAAACTTTCTTACTATCTTATTAAATTTTTTTTAACGTCAATTATTTTTTTTAAAGAAAATGTTTGTTTTTTTTTAAAAAAAAAGAGGAAATGTCCTTTTTTTTATTAATAAAAAAAGTCTAAACTTGGCATTAAAAAAAGGGACATTTCCTCTTTTTTTTTAAATGCAGACATTTTCTTAAAAAAAAATAAATTTGACATTAAAAAGAATTAATAAGATGGTAAGAAAGTTGTGAAATTTTTTGGATAAATTGAATACATTTAATAAGGGTAAACTTGGAAAGCAAAAGTTAGCTTGTATAATATATTAATGACATTGTTTTAAGTGTAAGGAGAATGACACGTGTCAAGCAAAAGATGGAGAAGGTCCAAAGGAGAAGGCTAGAGAGAAGGTTGCTAGCATTCCTCATTCAATAATTATGTTGTAACTAGATATCTAAGGTCTAAACTTGTTACTTTTTATAGCTCATTCATGGGTGCGCCTGATCTTAAACAGACTAAAACTACAATTTTTATTTTTATTTGTATTTTCCTTTCATGTTTCAAAACGATCTTATATTATTTTTCATCACTAGAAATGTTAAATTTGTTTGTTGAAACGTTGCGAACATAAATATTTTAAAAAATCAATATAAATGCAAGTGCGAAGTTGGGAATTTTCAATGGGGAGGGTAGTCTTCTTTTCTGTGATTGGGCTTTTTTAAGGAGAATGTTAGGTTTACCACATTTTTATACCATATTGTATACCACCTTTGTAATTTAGTATTACCCATTTTCCTAATACAAGCAATTGGGGGAGGGGGGTTTACATAAATATTTCATGGGTGTTTAGGGGTTTCGAAACCTCTACCCACATGTATGAAAGTGGAAGAGCTCATCCAATTGAGTTATACCCTACAGGAAAGTTTAGTGTTATTGCATTCAGTTTGGGTGCGCTACAAGATTTTATTTGACTAAGTTACACTTCAAATAAGTAAAAATAGGTCAACGAAGTCTAGCTTAGTGGAACATGACCTCAACTTGCAGACTAGTAATATAAAGTTCAAACCCCCATAGCACATTGATAATCTGTGTGAGAAGAACTCATTCTTCCATTATGGCTTGTCCAAAAAAGGAAGTAAAAATAGAGTAATTGTAGCATGGTACTGAAGTACAGCCGCGTGATACAATTTACCAAAAATTGCGGGTCGTGCCTAGCTCGAGCTCATGTCATTTCTTGAATGTTTCATGTTCGTTTTGTCGGCCTAAGCCCAAGCCCATTTACTTCTGCTGTCGGCCTCGTCCATGTTGTGTTTGAGCCTGTATTGATCACATCTCTCTTTATAATTTCTAATCACAGACAAATGTAATGAAGCCCCACGCATGTCTGATATTCACAGGCAATAGATCCAAAACCCATATACACAGAACATGGCTTTTAGGAAAGCGGTGTTGTTGTTGACCATCAATCTTTTTTGGTATAGAAAAGAAAAGTGGAGGGGAGGCTACCCATCTCAAGGTCTGAGCATTTTTTTTTTTATAGAATTTATAGAGGGGGTATTAGCCTCTTTTTAGGTTTTTACATATTACTTACTTAAAGGGATTGTCGATAGTGAGACTCAAACTTAAATTTGAATAGCAAAGAAAATGATTCTAACCAACTCAACCAACTCTCCTCAGTGACCATCAGTCTTTTCACGCACACAGTGCCTACTGTTTTATGATTCTATTATATTCTAACTCTACAGACACTGGTCTTTTTGTTTTTGCCAGCTGATGGAAAAGCTCTATTCTCAGTGAGAAACCAACAGTGGATTTCAGGGATGTGAACCCAAAATACAGCTTTATGAAACTTTTATTTGGAGCATATTCGAAGGCAGTGAGACATCAAAATCTGTTCTTGACACCTTACCCAACCTAACCTTTTGCAACAGTCTTGCACATTAATTAGCGAACTATGCAGGATTTTGACATAAGATTTGACTTCTGTAGCAACTATTCATTGTCGGGAAAATTAGAATGCACAGACTCAAAGGGGAAGAATAAAATAATTCATTCAGGATGAACTGGTTTTCTTTTTTGAGTAAATAATTGTAGTATTTGACACAAACCACGAGTATATAAACATAGTTGTCAGAATAGTAATAGTAAGTTACTAACTACTGTTCCTGCATATCAAATCGGACCAATCACGATTGCCCTCACTTGAATGAACTCTGTGGCTTTCCTTTTTGCTAAAGGAATTGACCCTTGCTCTGTAGAAAACTTCTCTATCACCTGTATACAAAGTGTTTATTTCCTGTTAATCATGTAATGAGAGATATCAACATATAATTATATCCGTCACGACTTACACTTATTTTCTCATTTATTTAACTTTGTACCCATTATAAGTTGAGATTGAACTTTGGCAAAGCAGAAGTGATGATAAGACAATTATATACATTAGTTTTCATTTGTCTCACAATTAGAGCTATTACGTACCACTAATCTCGCCTCACTGAAGATTTTCTCGTCACAAAAGTGCAGTATATTGATTTAGTGAATATTTTGACACAAACCTAATTTCAAAAAAAGAAATCACTAATCTCATTTTTGTGTATGATTGGAGATATCATTTGATTTCTAGGTAAGTAGGTTAATATTCCAGACTGGAAAATAGTTGGCATCATTGAAGGGAGAACCCCACCAAACCATACATATGAACAAATCATATATACCTCCCTTCTACCAGCATTAGCATTATTGATGATCACACATGAAGGCACTTAATTATATGATTGTTTCAAATTGAAGAGGACCCATATCTGCCAACTTAATCAAATGGAAAGGGACCTTCCCCCTTTTACACGCTTTGTAATCTTTGGATTCTGCTAGTTGGTCTACACAAAGGGGCCTCCTCCATGCTAAATTCCTTTTTCTTTTTTCTTTTAAAAATAATTTGATTCTTGTGGTTGGTCTGTCTTTCTCTGATCAGCAACAATGAAATTCACAATTATTCAATTCAATATAGGTGGGTGGGAAAAAGGATAATTTGAAAAAAGAATTGAAAAAAAAAAGGAATAAAAAGTGGTAATTTCAGCAATGATGCCCAATCCCACCACATAAACCAAAAAGAAATTCCAGTAGAGCGCTGTGGTTTCAAATTTCAATTGAATATGGCTATATGACATTAACAAATCCTTTAATCTCTCAATAATACATCTAAAATCTCTATCTCACAAAAAACACTAAAAACTTGCAAAATCCCAAGAAGAAAAAAATAAGGCAGACTAGAAAGGAAAAAAAAACTTGGCCTATGTCTCCAAATGAACAGGAAGAATTGCACTTCTAGATCCCCTACCATTTCCAAAAGAAAAGAAAGATCTTCTAACCCTACCACTACTACTACAACCTTCAATGGGACTCATCTCATTGACTTGCCTGTGCTGCTGCTGCTGCTGCTGCTGCACAGCCTCTTGAACTGCCAAATAGAGCTGCCTATCAGCTGAAGAGTCCATTGAGAAAGACCTCCTTATGGGTTGGATTGAGAACTGCTCATCTTTGCCTCTAATGTCAATACATTCATCCCCCATGCTTGTAACCTTGTTGTGAAACTTTCTTGCTAATTTCTTGGGCACACTTCTGTTTTCCAGTTTCCTTGGTGAAGGGCTAATAGAAATCACTGATGCCTCCTCTGAATTCATTCTTTCTTGCCTCCCAAGCATTGTTTGCTCCATCGAATTATCGTTACTCAATTCGATCACCACGTAGTCTTCATCACCGCCACTTAGGCTACCTGCATATGGACTTGGATCTTGGGGTGAAGAGCTTGGAGCAACAATTCGATCAAATGGAAACCGGGTTGTGGTCGAAATGCTTGTTCTGCAAAGTGGGCAATTGGCATTGCTTTGAAGCCAAACATCAATGCAATCAATGTGAAAAATGTGGCTGCAATTTGGTATGATCCTCAGCTTCTCATCTTCTTGGAACTCATTCAAGCAAACTGCACACTCACAAAAGCTTCCCTCTTCAAATCCTCTGTTCCTATCTTTCTTGAATTGCAACAATGGGATTGATCTGATCACAGCCTCATCAAGCCCTCTAGTCTCTAACCCTGGAGAGTAGGCCATTAGCTGGTCTTCATCGCGCCTATTTCGCGATAATGAGAATCTTCTGAGAAGATCAACACGGTGCCAATTGAGGCAGCATTTGATCACAAAGATGTAGTAGCTCACAAGCAAGAAAGCTGTGGCTATAATTCCTATTATGGCAATGGCTATAATGGGGAAACTTGTGTCTGAATGATGAACAGGAGCCCCAAAGATTGTCCTTCCTGGACTTGTTGTTGGAGGAAGAGCTTGTGACAAATGGATCAAGTAGCTTTTGCTTACAAGATCCATGAAAATGGAGGCTCCTATGACCAATAAAAACTACTCTGGTTTTCTTAGATCTTGAAACTTGTACAAGAAAAGTATGCAGACACAGAGAAAATACACAAAACCATGAAACTCACAAGAAGTGAGATGAATTAATGCTTGATTAGCAAAGATCTATACTAGAG